CAGCTATGGATTCCTCCTCTGCCCGTCAGCTTTGGGTTCTGTAGCATTTAGGTTTTGGCAGTGACTGTATTCTTCTGTCCTTCTCCCCTGTCCCATTTCTGTAAGCCAGCAGGATTTACCCATCTCTCCTTATCTATGTGTCTCATCAGTCTTTCCCCCTTCTTTATCTTCCTGCCATTATCAATTTTGGCTTGAGCATTTGTTTCAGTCTGTTTAGGCTGTCCCTTCTTTTTCATGTGTTTGTCCCTAGAAGCAGCAGGTAGATCTGATGGGATCTGTAGGATCTGTTGTCTTTAGTGCCATCAGCACCCCTCTCCATCTTTCTGGCATTTATTCTTCCTGCACTGCACATCCTCTTCTCTTTCCCCCTTGACTGTAGCATTTCTGCTGTGAGCCTGCAGGCTCCCCACATACAGCACTGCTCTTCACTTCCCTGAGCAAGGTTCAAGGCTGCCTTTCCCCCCACAGCTAACCAAGCAGGAGAGACGGCTCTGGACATTGCCAAGAGGACAAGACATCACCAATGTGCAGAACTGGTAGGACACAGTGTCGGTTTTGGGACACATCCTGGCAGGAAAAGGCACTGCACAGATGCCTCGTGCAGGGTTATCCAAATCCTTCAGCATCATCACTGCTGGTGTGGGACACAGAGGAGGGTGCCATGGGGTCTGCTCTGTCTCAGCTGTCATGGGGTACCTCAGGGCTGGGCAGTTTGGGACAGGTCAGACAGGGGAACCTGAAACTGCACCAAGCCACACAGGGTGAGAGCATCTCCTTGGTGAGTCCAAGCCTTACTTTGGCCATGTCCCACTGTGTGTTTGGACAACTTTGCAAAACTCCTGGCCTGCTGAGCTGGCAGCCTTACATACAGTTTGTTTCCTCCATAACCAAATGGTCTGTCAGAAATGGGGCTGGTGTAGTGGGCAGGGCTGGTGGGTCCTGAGGGGGCTCCTCTGTGCCTCAGCTGCTGCAGGCCCAGAACAATCAGTTCAGCCCGCATGTCCATGTGGAGTACGAGTGGTGGCTGGGCCAGGATGACATGTATGAGAGTGACGATGAGCTGGATGAGAAGGTGAGGATCCTCCATGGGCTCAGGTCCATGCATACCACCATTGGCCCTTCTCCCACCACACTGGAGTGGGTGCTCCTGTACTGGCTGATCACTCGTATTGGATACTCTAACTTACAAATATTCTTTCCAGCTGGGTCTTATGAAGAGGGGGTCTTCCTGTCCACAGAGCTGCTCCCAGCCTCCTGCCTCCAGACCAGAAGCAGCAGGGGCAGTGCTTCAGGGGAGGCGGCCAGACACCTATGCCTTGCCACACACCCACCTCCGCAGCCTGGATGTGCCACCAGCCCCCTCCTACCCACCTCCCTTCCCTCCCCATCGGGCGAAGTCAGGTGAGATCCTGCGTGGGCTGATGGGGTGAGCTGCTGGAGCTGTGCAGCATAGCTCCATCAGCAGAGGATAGGGCACTGACGAGACTTGTCTGCTGCTGTAGGGTACCCTTCTATGCTCTTCTCCTCAAGGGGAGAAGGCTGACTTGTTTTCCTTAGTCCTGAGCCCTGCATGGTGTACCCTTACTCTTAGTGCTCCTATGCTGGCACTGTTAGGATGCACTGTTAGAATGCACCGTACGCTCCTGAGTGCTGCTGCTGGGACAGGTATGGGAAGGGAAAGCTGCCAGTAGGAAGAGTTCTGTTCCTTGGTCAGACTGCTCCTGCTGCCCTTGCCCAGCCTTTCCATGATGTGTCCCACCTCTGAGAAATGGAGGTCCTCAGTTCCTCGAGCTGTCCTGCTTTCTGGGAGACTTTCTAAGTCCTACCTGACCACTTCTCCCTCTGTCACAGCTGGGGCTCCAACCTTACGTGTTTCTCAAGTCAGACCTGCAAGCAGAGAAATAAATATTCTTGTCAATGCACAGTGCCAGTTTTCCCTGGAGTTTTGCTCCTGGGAGGTCTGCTTGCTACTGACCTATGATCTGTTTGTGTTCCCTGTTTAGCTCCTGAAAGGACACGTCCACTTCTGACCAGCTCATCTGTCTTTGCTGAGGACACAAGAACCAGGAGGAGCCCATCCCTGCCTCTGAGCACCAAGCACAAGCGCACATCCTCAGATCCAGCTCCTTGGGTACCACTCAGCCCGGAGAAACCCATCCTTGGTCTGGCTTCAGGTAACAAACAAACTGGGTCAGGATCCAGGCTGTGCTATGGGGATGGGCTGTGCTCGTGGAAGAAGGGCCTACTGGAGGTCTGCAGCTCAGCACCTGCTGAATCAGATTGGCCATGGCTTTGTGCAGCCAAAGTAGACTGGGGGCACCTGGGAGCTGCACATCCCAGCTCCTACCACTGCCAGCTCTGCACTTGCTGCACAGTGTTGCCCAAGAGTGGTGCTTGCTGTTGCCTACCTGTGATTAAAGGAAGGAAGTCGTGACCATCCTGCTTTTGTTGTAGGTGTCCCGATGGCCGTGGACTGCCTCTATGCATCTGTCTCCAGAAAAGCAGGACAACCTGGCCCACACCAATCATCCCACGAGTCAGATCCAAGTTGTGGAAGTGCCTCAGATGTCCCTCCTCCTCTTCCTCGGAGGGGCAGTTCGGTAGGTGGCCATGGGCTCAGCTCCTGGGCCTATCTGCATTTACCACCTTCAGTTTTGAACTCAGTTGGACCCAGCATCCCCTCCTCCCAGCCCCACTGCTGCTCCTCCCTGGCACTGACATTTCCCTACCAGATGCTGGGAATGCTCTGCATGGAAATGGCAGGTCCCACCCAGTGCACACCATGCACAGGGATGATCGCTGTTATTTACTGCTAGCCAAAAGCCCTGTCATGCTCCAGTGTCTTTTGAGAAAAACCTCACTTCTGAATTCAGGCCGTTGGCAGGTCAGACAGGGTACACTTCTGGACAGGAGCAAGGGTGCAATGTCCTCTCTGGCCCATCCCTCTGCACTGCAGGGACTTCCCTTCTCCCCAGCCCTTTTGTTAGTGGCATCAAGGCACTAAAGCTGTTACATTTGTGTCTGACAAAGCTGGTGACACAAGGGATAGAGGAGGCCTGACAGTGCTCTCTCCTGCTTGCAGAACACACTGCTGTTCCGCAGGGTCCGCGCTCTCTATGACTGCAGTGCTGACCGGGACGATGAGCTGACTTTCCACGCAGGCGAGATCATTGTGGTGTTTGAAAAGGAGGACGACAACTGGTGGGTGAGTGAACCTGGGCACAAACCATGGCACCTGGCTGCGCACAGCTCCTCTCTCCATCCACCTCTTTCCCCTGTCCCGTGATTGTTGCAGCCGCTGTCGTCTGCTCTGCTTCCATCTCTCCACCTTTCATTTTCCCTGGGGCACGACCTCTTGCTTACATCTGGCCAAGCTACTGAAATATCCTCCAGTCCTGCATGGACCTCTCACCTCCCACCAGCTCTGCTGCTTTCCTCTCGCACTGCTTGTGTCCTGGCCATTCCCCTCACCCCATGGCAACTTCCTTGCCCACCCCAACCTGACACTCAGCTATGGCTCATGTTGGCCATTTCTAAGGAAGTCTTCCTTAGATCCTCAGTCCTGGTATGAACCACAGAGTGTGAGGAGAAACTTAACAGATTTCTATCCCCTATTGCACACAGCAGCAGTACAGCAGGTCTTGCCCAGTTGGCCAGTCGATATCTCCAAAACTGGAACTTCTTTGGGCAGCTGTGATGGCATCTGCGGCCTCAGCAGAGAAAAAAGCCAGCGTGCCATGGTTTCCTTCAGACAATTGCAGACAGCAAATACAGATCTTTATCACCTGCTCATTGAGTTCCCCCAGGAAATCCTTGAAATTTGTTTCCACTGTTTTTCTTATAAACCGTACCTTCTTTGTAATTAGTTTTAGAAATAAGCATTTTTACATGCTGTAAATAAATTAGGAGCTCTAAAGGGGTTCACAACCTCTGAATCTGCCCCTGTTTCCCCAGTGTGCTGCAGGCTGGGGGTAGCACAAGCAAGCCCTGGGTTGTGGGGCAGGATATGGCCCTGAGCCCTGCTGCTCTGATGGCAGGTGAATCATGTTTGCAGGAATAGCAGGTTTAAAGATGTCTTTGTTTGTTGCCAAATAACCCCCATCTAAAAATGACACCTAAATTTTAATCCAAATAAGTTCAGATTCTCCATCCAGCCATCAAATGTGTTTTTATACTGGAGAAGAGCTCTTTCTCCCAGATGTTGATCTGGGTGATATGCAGCAGTCAAACCTCCTCTTGAGCTTCTGCTCCGAAAACTTTGTAGAAACCTCTTCTGTAACATTACCTTTCACAGTTTGTATGTTTTCTGTCTCTTCCTTGTCTTTCTGGTGTGCAGATATTGCCCATGCAGGGCACAGCTGCCCCAGTGCCATGTGTGGGTACTCAGTCCCTCTTCTTGCATACTGTTTCTCTGCTCATTCCTCTTTTTCTCCCACTGGCATTCTGCACAGCACTGTGCTCAATCTGCCAGCCATTGCTCTGACTTGCTCCCAGATGTGATGTTCAAGCAACTGCTCCATCCTCCCTAGGACAAGAGCAGTGCTCCTAGAGAGAGCCTCCAGTGAACAAGCCTGGTCCTTCACATTTCACTCAGGTGGCCTGGAGAGCATCTAGAAATTTTGTCTTCACCAGACCAGCTCTATTTAACAGCCTGGTGCAGTGCTGCATTGTATGGCCCTTCGGGCAGCTAGAGATGTGCAGGAACATCCCCTCTGAGGGTGTCCCTGTATGGGAGGTGGTTCATGGAGTTTGGGTTCTGGGATGCATGTCCTGGCCCAGAGGCAGGGCTATCAGGCCAACCAGCAGTGGTTGTAAAAGTACACTTCCTCATTCCCTGTGCTGTGCTCAACACTCCTTTTCTTCTCTTTCTCCCTGCAGAAAGGCTGGATTGAAGGGCAGCCCCACAGGCAAGGCGCCTTCCCTGCTTCCTTCGTTCATGTGCTCAATGAATAGGAGCTGCTTTGATCTGAGAGGGAAGATGTCATCATGTGGAATGTGAAACCCCCAAGCTCCCATCTGCATCCTCACTCCCAGCATCACCTCTCCTCCCCTGGGCCAGTGGTGCTGAGGCCCCAGAGCCCCACATACTGCAGGCCTTGGGGCTGGGGTTCCTGGGTGATGTGTGCTGGCTGCCAGCAGATGCTCAACATACAAAAGAAGAGAATGAGGCAAACTTCAGTGCCCTGCCCTGAGCGTGCTGCCTGTCCTGAGTGTTGTGGAGATGCGCCGCTGCCTTGCAGGGCTGTGGAGCTGTGAGTGGAGCCGTGCTGTTGTGCAGAGCCCAGGGTTGGAGGCTTCTGCTGAGGACAGAGCACAGTGTGAGCCTGGAAAGACAAATGTCTGGTGAAGCCTGCAGAACAGAGTGTTCATGCCATCCCTGCTGCCTGCACTGGGTTTCACTGCTGGTGCTCCAGAAAACCTGCTCTGTGGCAGCTTAGGGCATGGCTCCAGCAGCACCTGGCTATAGGAGTGATGGAGAGGAACTCTGAGCCCACTGCCAGTAAATCCCAGGGCTTCAGTGCTTTGGGTTGTGCAGGGCGGTTCTGCTTTGTGTTTCCATCTCCATTTCTCCTTTTTCCTTTTGGCGTTCTTCCTTCAGCGTCCAACATCTTCAGGTGAGATCACTCATGGTTCAGCTTACACAGCTTTTCTCCAGGGCCTGGCATATGTCTCAGTCTTCTTCCTGAACCAAAATCCTGTCTAGGTGTCATAAGGAAACCAAGCACTGGATGCACCAGACTGTAGAGTGGAAGTTGAACCAGCACGATTTACAGGGTCAAGAGGGCAAGGTTGTGCCAGGCAGCTTCTCCCACCCCCGGTGTTATCAGTCAGATAGGACCTAACCTTTGTACAAGTCGTCAATGCGTATCCTTAGATACAACAAATATGTGCTTTTGCCTCGGTTAGGGTGACCATTCTTGAAGCTGTTAAGGAACTCTTAATCACTCTGCAAGGACTGAGCTTGTCTTCAAAGATCAGAGCACCTTAAGAAAAGATAGTTAAGGAAGCTAGCCCGCAGGAAGGGAGATTAGCCCTGTCTTTAACTGACCACTTGTAGGCTGGACGCTGTATGAGGGTTGTGGTCAAGTGATAAAAATATGCATTAAAAAGTGTCACGAAATCTTGGAGTGCGCTAGTTTTGTGGGAGAACACCCAGCACTTCTGCAACCTTGCCATAAATCCATACCTGTGTGAGTGAGATCGGCTCACTGCGTGGCCCTCAGGGGTCTGCCTTTTGGACAACAGTCCTCTGGAAAGCCAATGGCATGGCCTCACCTCGCCAGGATTAACCTGCTGCAGCAGGGGAGGAGCGGGGGACTGGTCAGACAGTGCACAACACCGGCCTTTTGGCTGGGGACTCCATTGGGTGCTCATCTCTGCTTGCGTGGTGACCCTGAGGACAACGCTTCGATCGAGGTATTGACTTGATGGTGTCAGGGGGAATAAGAGGCTTTGGTTGTTGGGTTTGGTTGTTTTGGTTGATGAATGGCCAGCATTTGGTGTCTGCATTTGGTCGTACACATGGCTGCCTAAGAACAGAGTGTATGCAGCCTTGTGGAAAGACTTTTTTGTTGGAAGTATAGGGACCAGTATAGGGACCATTCCCTCCTCTGAGATTCTCCCTCATTCATCTCTGGGATCCCTAAAACATTGGGAGACATTGGGTGGGGATCCCTTGACTATTAAAAAACTGAAACATGACTGTGGATAGAAAGGACGATGGGAGAAAAGTGGCTGGAAAGGGGAACCTTGAATTCTAAGACAGTACTTCAATTATTGTTATTTTGTCGCCGTGTAGATAAGTGGGATGAAATTCTGTGTATTAACTTGTTCTTTATGTTCTGAAACGGTGCTGCAAGGCTCTGTTCTCTGCCCCAACTTCCCTTTCCTGCAGCAGTCACTGAGTTCTGCAGTGTGTGGGAGTGTCACCTCCTCCCGGCGCTGCTCAGAGCCACTGAGTGCCCTTATGACAGCTGGGGGTCCCAGCATTCCTCCAGCCCCTTTCCCATCTTTGGGGCTGGGGAACACTTGGAGATGTCACTTAAGGCTGAGTGAGGGCAGGGACAGATTTATGGCCACCACTGCACCTGGTGCTGTGGCTGCAATGCAACCTTGGGCCTGGGCAAGCCCCAGAGGTGCACTGGGGGGCTCTGTGCCTCTGCCTCGGCTGCTGGGAGGGGCGCAACCCGCCTCGGTGGGCTCAGTGCTGGAGGCCTTGGGGACGCAGCGTTTGGCAGCCAGCCCAAAGGAAAGCAGCCTCGTTGTTTTCTGAACCGGAGTGACTTTGCTTCCGCCACGCTGGCAGCACTTCGCTCGCACTTCCTTCCCCAGAGCTCACACTGGTGACATTTTCGTTCTTCCCAGGAGAACTGCTGCAACTGCTGTGGCCGCCCAAGGACCGGCCCAGCCTCTTTCACTTCACCCACGTCCCACACCTCGCACCACTGACAGCTGGAGCAGTGGTTCTGCTGCTGGACACGTGCAGGTATGTCTGTATAACCGGGGAGACAGAGTGACCCACGTTCATCCCAGAGCTGCCTGTAAGAGGGGGGGAGCATGGGGAACCCCGTGAGGGTGGGAGGGGCTCTGTCCTGCTTTCCCAGTGCAGTGGGTAAACTCCAGTCCCGAGTAGGGGTTGTCCCAGCATCCTGCTGTCAGCCTGCCCAGGGCACCAGGCTCTGAGTGCTGAGCACCTTGTGGCGATAACAGAGCTCTTGTTGCTCTGACTTTGGCTGGATGTGAGTGCTTTCAGCTGGCAGACAGGAAGGCCATGCTCAGCTCGGCGTTCTGACAACAGACAGACAGATACACAGACACACACGCACACACAGACACGCTGCGGTTCCACCTCCCGGCAGCGACGCGGTGCCCCTGGCAGCCACGGAGCGGAGGCTGCGCAGTGCCTGCGCGGTCGGGAGCGGCGGGGAGGGGGTGTGGAAGGCACGGGAACCGCGGGCTGAAGCGGGGGCCGGAGCAAAGATGCGCCGCAGCTCGCCCATGGGCCGGGTCGCAGTCGCCGCGCTCGCAGCGGGCAGAGCGCGGCACGCAGAGCAGCACGTGCTGCCGGCCCTGCCCTGCCCTGCGCTACTGCGGCGGTGCCGGGAGCCGAGCCGTAGGGCCGCGGAGCTGTTGGGAAGGGAAACCCATGCCGGGCTGTCTCAGGTCTGCGGCGGGGCGGTGCGCAGCGGGGGGGGGCAGCGGGCCGTGCAGGGTTCTGCTCTGCCCACGGTGCCACCGCCCTCCTGCTGCAGGTGCTATGAGGGATGCGCTGCCGGAAGCGCACGCTGCTGGGGCTGGCCCTGTGCCTGCCGCTCGGTCTGTGGCTGTTGTTCCGGGCCTCCGTGTCCGGCCTAGGCCTCTCTCCTTCCCTCCCCACCGTCAGCTGCACCGCCAGCTTCAACGCCTCCGCCTGGTTCAGCGCGCGCTACGATGCTGCCGTGGGGCCTCTGCTGAGCGGCCCGGCCCACGAGCTCTCCCCGGACGTGGTTCACTGGTGGCTGGTGAGTGGGGCTTGGATCTCTCCCGGGCTCCTTATGTCTGCCGGCAGCAGGTTTTACGCGCCCGTTGCCCCCCAGCCTCCCCCAGCGCACCCGGGCAGGTGAGGGGCTTCGCGCCACAGGGGCTGACGCTGCCCGTCCTTGCCTGTGCTCCCCCAGACCCTGCAGGGCCCCTCCAGCATCGCCCCGCTCCAGGCCATCATCCGGAAGCTCTTTGCTGTCCTCCCGGCCCCCAATGGCAGCGTGTGGGACCCGTCACGCTGCAGGACGTGTGCCGTGGTGGGCAACTCGGGGCGGCTGAAGGGGTCCCGCCATGGCCCGCAGATCGATGCCCACCACTGGGTGCTGAGGTGGGTGTCACCAAGGGCTCGCGTTCTCTTTTCCCTTCTGGCCGGGGTCACCTGGTGTTCCTGCTTGGCGGCCAGGGGCCCCTGTGGTGTGTGCCTTCATTTTGGGACGTGCCTTCCCGCTGTCCCCTAGGATGAACAGAGCTAAGACAGCGGGCTTTGAGGTGGATGTCGGTGCGAGGACGACCCATCACTTCATGTACCCAGAGAGTGCGATGAACCTCTGGCCTGGTGTCCACCTTGTCCTCGTCCCCTTTAAGCCACTGGATCTCAAGTGGGTGACCAGCGCCTTCTCCACAGGAGAGCTCACACAGTGCGTCACCTCGGCCATCCTGGTGCTCTGGGAACAGCTGCTCTTGTTGGAGAGCCGGGGGGATGGGCTGGGGGACGAAGGGCTCAGAGGGCTCTGGCATCCCACAGCACTGCAATTTGGCGAGTCTGCCCCCACAGGGCTTGGGCATCCTGCAGCCCCATACCCTCACGAGTGGGATGGAAGCTGTCCCAGCTGTGCCTCTTCGCGGGGCCAGGCCATGGGACACCACAGGGTCAGCCCAGGGAACTGCGGGTGCTGTGGCAGCAGGTGCTGGTTGTCGCAGCAAACCATCTGCCCCTGAAGGTGCACTCACAGCTGTCCTCTGGCTTTTGCAGCACCTACACAAGAGTGAAGCAGTTCATCAAAGCTGACAGAAACAAGGTAAGGGCTGGGCAGGCATCCAGCAAGCACTCCCTGCCTGAGAACTCAGTGCTGGGGCTGTGGGGCAATGGGGGCCAGGGGCTGAGGGCCACCAGTAACTTGGAGTGGCTGTCAGATGTGGGGTGGCCCTGAAAGCATCCGCAAGGCAATGTGGGAGCTGCTGCAAAGTTCTTCTTGGTGAGACTGGGTTCATTCTGTGGGAAGGCAAGTGGGGTGCAGGCAGAGTTGGGGGACAGTGGTCCACAGTGGTGATAGGAGCTGGCTGTCCTGACTGCAGCTTATCATGCCTCTAATCCCAATCAGGTGCTGATCCTGAGCCCAGCCTTCCTCAAGTACATCCATGAGAACTGGACGGAGCACCATGGCAGGTACCCCTCCACCGGCTTCACAGCGCTGCTCTTCGCCTTGCACGCCTGCCAGCAGGTGAGCACAGCCTGCAGCACCACACACTGCTCAGCCCCGTGGGCACCACCTGGAGCTTGCCACCACTGCTCCACACATGGGGAGGTGGTTTTCCTTGTGGCCATGCAGGATTTCCTTTGCTGCAGTGTCTACCACCCACTGGCATTTTGCCTCCTCTGGCTCCAGCTCCCCTTTCTCTGGTGCATTATCTTGCACTAGATGCAGCATAGTGTGGGTGGGCAGTCATGGCCCTCAGCTGCTGGCCACCTTCTTGCTGGGGGAACCCAGATGTGGTCAGCCTGGCTGTGTCACCTCATCCCCACCTGGGCCCTGGTGCTCTGTGCCTATAGAGCTTCTCCTGCCCCGCTTCCCAGATGCAGGACTGCACATGGTGGGTACTCACCTTGGGTCAGCCGACTGCCTGTGCAGTGATGGCTCTGCTGGCATGCCACAGGTCTCCGTGTTTGGCTTTGGGGCTGACAGCAAAGGGAACTGGCATCACTACTGGGAAGAAAACCGCTGGTCTGGAGCCTTCCGCAGAACAAGGGTCCACGATGCTGATGTCGAATTCAGCCTCATCCAGAGACTGGCAGCTGAAGGCAGAATATTATTCTATCAGTGACACACACTCAAGAAACGAGGCCAAGCCGTTAGCACAAGAACCGGCGGCTGCAGCAGCTCTTTAGCTTGCTTCTGCCCCTCGCTGGCTGGGGCAGCCTACGCTTGGCGTGTGCTGTGCTGGTCCCACCAGCTCAGCACGGCAGACAGCAGTGAGCATGAATGGCAGTAGAGCTCTGCTAAGCCTGAGAGATTCCTGCTGCAGGTCTTGGTCTTCTCCAGAGAGGACACAGAGGGGCAGGAGGGGGGCAAACCCCGTGCTTTCAGAGCCCTCAGTTCAGGTGCTACACAGCAGAGCGGCTGTAACTGGACGGTGCGCACACAGCCAGCTGCCAGTGCAGCTCTCAGGGGATGGAGCTGAGATGTCCACCCTCTGATGGCACAGGGGGAGGTTCTTTGGGCAGGCGGAGAGTCTTAACAGAACAAAGGAATATATTTTTAAATTGCACCAAAGGAGAGAAAGAAACGAGAAAATGAAGCGCGCTAAGTCCGAACGCAGCAGAAATGAGTACAGCTGAAATGTTGAATAAACTTTGACAGCACATGAAGGTCTACTGCTACCGTTTGTTTTACTTTCTGAGCTCTTGCTGCTCTGCACGGCTCATCGCAGACCCTGAAGCCCTCCTGACCAGGGATGGGAGCCATCACCACCCCACACCTCATTTGTTTGCTGGTGCTGGTTGTTTAGCAAGCATGTTGCAAAATTCAAAAGCTGCAGCCAGTCCAAGCGGATGCTACCAAAGCAGTTGCAAAGGCAGCAGGTTCAGATGTTTTCTGAGGAACATGCCAAGCATGGGGCTGCTCAGAGCCCTGCTCCTCCATCTGTGCCGCAGAGCACAATGACCAAGAGAGCAGCTTGTTGTTTCCTTTCAGTCCCAAACACCACTGTCCTTAATCAGATCCAGCTTTTCCACGTCTGAATCATACTGATCACGTGGAAAAGCACCAGATCAGTCACAAGCTCCCATTTTAACTGCAGGAAGACATTACCACTCCCTAAGCTACTAACTTCATCTGATTCCTGCCTCTCCAGGCAGAATCCCCATTTCTGTACCTGTTTTCTGTTTCTCTTTTCCGGAGCCTTCAGCAATTTCTATGCAGTTGTTCCAGTATTCCAGCATGGAGATTCATCACACACCTTATCCACACATCCAACTGCACCCAGGTTTTTGTATGATCTGCTTCGAAGCTCTCTTTAACTAATTAAAAACAAGCTTCTGCTTACAAATTGATGGTATTTATCCTAAAGTTCTACCTTAGTTTAAAGCTTTCCCCCTGCATCATTTGATCCTGTGCCTGCTGTGCTCACACTGCACTGTGAACTGTGCCAGTCACTAAGTGCAGAGTAAACACCAAAGCCAATTTAGAGCCGAGATTAAGAGCACTGAGTCTGTGTTCCCTCAAACTGAGGCAGGAATCTGTAATTTTTAATTTCTCCCTTATTTTCAAGTTCCTCTCAGAATGATTTCACACACACTTTACTCGCTTGTGTAGGTCACAATCAAGAAAGAACAGAATTCACCATTATTGCCACGCTTTGCCACAATGCAGGTAGTTTTTATTATAATTTCCAATTCAGGATTGGCTCAAATAATTTAATGGTTCTTCCAAATGCCTTACCAAAACACACAGGATGGACTGCATTACAAAACAGAGACAGAGGGGAAGTGAAAAACACAATCCAATTTAAAAATTAGTTAAAATTCCAAGCTTTTTTTTCTTTTCTCATCCATACATCAGCTTGCATCTCTGCTAGGCAGAGCAATCTGAGCCAAATGCGGGACCACACGGGACAGAAGCAGGCCCTGAACGCCACGTCCCTCCCCACCACCCTGGGCAGCTGGAAGGGAAGCACACGACACTCAGCACATTTTCACAGAGGTCTGGCATACAGCATCAGCACATTCCGAAATATCTGTGGGAGCAATTAAAAAAAAAAAAGACAGATGGTGTTGTCAGAAAGGTTTCTGATGACAAATTCGATCCATTGCAGATCTGACAACACAGCACGTTATTCCTGAAGTATCTCCAGCAGCTTTTTCAGGGGGCAAACTGGATGAAGACGGACTGACACAAAAGGGTTTTTCAGTAGGGTCTGCACAGCCAGACGAGATGGCTAAAGTCACGTCATAGCAGCAAGGTTTGAGCAGTTCCATCCACAAATCAATGCCAAACAACGGATGGTGAGACATGAAGAGCAGTTGGGGCCACCTGGTAATTCCAAACCTCACGTGCACTTGGAGGATCACACGTATTTTGTAAAACCTGTTTAGTTCTCCTCACAGTTTTTTGTCTGTGTGCGGTGAGGTCATTGTTTATATTGTCTTCCCAAGCTCAATTTTCTTCTGGATGGCACGTGCTGAGTGATAAATCAGGGAGTCGATGAATCCTGCAACTAGAAGGAAAAACGAGATCGAGCCAAACGAGCCTCAAATACAGAGATCTCCCACAGCAAGAAAAGCCAAATCCTTCTGTCAGCAGCAGGAATTCCAGCTCCCTCTGACAGAAAGCAGCTGCTGCTCAGAAGACCCACATCCACATCTCATTAGGAGAGATGAGATCCAGCCTGCAGGGCAGAGGTGGCCGTGGTTATCTGGAAAGCCATGTCTCAAAGAAGAAAAGATGAGACAAAGACGAGCCACGTTTGCTGGCAGGTGAGTGAGGAAGGTCTGGAGAGGAAGCTGATGCTGAGAGCTTTGTGCCATTCTACTGCCCTGACCAGCTGGCCAAGGGAATGCTTCCCTTTTGCTATTTCACAGCAACCTCCAAAGCAAGCTGTTCTACCTGACAAAACACATGCTGCCCTTCATGGACACCCTTTGTAGGAGACGGCAGCAGTTTACTGCAAATCTCTCCCACCAGTACACTGAAGGAACCTATTAACTGTGCTTGTTTGGGAGCAGAGAAAAGCTCAGAGTGGGTCTTCTGCACCACAGAATCCAGACTACCCTGCATCTGTCACAGTGGCTTCCACAACCAGGCACTCTGTCTACTCCCTCCCTTCTACCCGAGAGAACACGGAGCCAGTAAACAAAGATATTTTCAATGCCTTTGTGAAGCTTAATGTTCCCGGGAAGTTTTATTTATTCAGCACTTCCAATCTAAGAAATAAGTGGTTTCTTGGCCCTACATAAACAGACATTTTAATACTGGAGTAGCAGTAGATAGGAATAGTGGACAGGAATTGATTACTCTTCCAATCTTGCTATCTGGTCTTTCAGTAACACCCTGATGACTATCTTCTGCCCTGAAAACACTTGTGAAACCAATCTGATGCTGTGACAAAGACGCTGTCAGGCAGCTGATTTGATCTGTCCTCCAGCATACAGTCTGACCACAGTGTATGGCAGCAGACAGCACAAAGTGCTTGTTAGCCCCAGTCACTGACAGAGGAAACTTGGATTTGTCACAGTGATTTTAAAAAGCCTTTGCCTGAGTTAGGCATGAAAACGATCATGATCAAATAAACGTGCTGCAGACAAATCCTGTTTAACAGACAGCAACCTCAGTATCAGGTTATCCAAGTGTGATGTAGCAGATACAGGTGCTATGGAATGCAGGGATACGATACAGAGTGGCTGGACTCCTACAGAGCTTCCAGCACAGCAAGATCTGCTGTCCTCATCTCCATAAGAATGTCTCCAAGTGTTTCAGGGCACCCTGGGTTATCAGCTGGACCAAGGCTGGGCTCTGTCATGTGCATTGAACTGAGTAAATGCTATTCCAGAAGCCAACACCGATGGCAAAGTCCAGAGATGCAAACGGTTCCGCATGAGCAGCCTCTCCTCAGGGAACCCAGGAGCTGCGAGGGCCTCTTTTGGGCCCTGCAGAGCATTCACTGGAGCTCCTGTGTCTGGGAACACAGTTGGTGAACTCTGAGATGGCTCTGCCCGTGGGACCTCATTTCAGAGATGTTATGGACTTCAGGTCAGCATGAAAGAAACCACCTGCTTCCAGAGCCAATCTGGCCAGGAAAACGGCACAGATACATTTAAATGGCAAATGAAAGAGTGCATTATTTGAAAACAAAATGTCTCCCAGAGCATCAAAATGAAATACTCCCACAGCTCTGCAGAACATCTGTATTGCCTCCTGAAGGCTGAAGTCACCTTTCCCCAGCAAAAGGGGATTTATAACCAGCTACACAGAGTTAAGAAAGAATAAGATGGCAAATGATCAGAGAGAAAAAGGATTTAAAGATGCAGTACCTGTGAATATGCCACCAACAATGGCACAAACTCCTGTGAGGAAGTGTGTGAAGGGCCTGGAATGAGGAAAACAATTTAAGAAACCATCATCAGCTCTGATACCAGTAGGACAGATAAGTAACCATCAATACAAACTAACTCATAATTAACATTATGTTAATCATATTACATAAGTATGCATTATATAAGCATTAATAACTGACAACAGATTTAACAATTGAACAACCCCTGTCGGCTACAGGATGGAGTTCATCACTGAAATGTTACTGAGAAGCACCACTGCATTCAGTGCATTTAAATGAGCTCAGTGGCAACCTAAGGAGGCACATACTGAACTTACAAACCCCAAAGACTGGGCTTCTCATCCCTAAGATTTCAGCCTCTTCTGCTCAGCAGAATGCACATCAGGCTGCTGTACAAGAAAAACAAAATCCCTAAACACATACCGACACACTACAAGGCATAGAAAAAGCTGTGCCTCATTATGATCCCAAAAGACTGGGTAGCTACAATCCCTTCTGTCTCCCTGTAATTGCAAGCCTGTGATTAAATGAGAGCCTGGAAGGAACAGGTTCCATGCTGACTACAACGTGCAAAAAAGCTACTGCAAATGCAAAGTGAATAGGCTGGATCAAAGTGGGTGGCTCTATAGGTGCTGGTGAGATGTTCCAGGACAGTGAAAGTGGTAAGTTGCATCTGTATCTGTTCATCATGTTGGCTTTCCTCTATAAAATCAGACTTCCTATTAAAAAAGACTTTGAGGAAATCAGACTGAACTGAATGCCACCATACCAGACTTCCGCACTTCTCCATCCTGATACTGCATCAAACCCTTCCAGGTAGTATGAGACAACCCCAGATCCCATCCCTGTCAGATGTTCACATTGAAAGGAACTGTATCTGGGAGCGTTCCATTCCCTCTGCTGGTTGTGGAGGGGTCTGGCTGACTCTCAGGCATCTGCAGCTGTGTTTTAAGCTATGTGAAATGACAAAAATCAATGCAAGGGGAATGAAATACACTGAAATGATTCTTACCTGTGTTTCTCCGTCAGCTTCACCATCATGGGTGATAGTTCATACAGCACAAACACACCAGGCAGACCCTGGTCTCCTATCAGCCCGTTGGCTATTTTCTCGTGTCGTGTAACTGAAAACTGGTTTGTCCTTACCACCTGGAGGAAACATAAGCAGTTAGCATCACTTTGTTAACAGGGAATATGGAAGGCTACTAAAAACATGAGTTCAGTGAACCACATCACTGTTGCTGTGGGCCCCTCTCTTGTGGGCTCATGACAGGAGCCACAGTTGCAAGAGTCATAATCAGCACCAGCAGAATTAGA